TTAAAGATCTTTTTTAGCTAGTAGGTTTTTACAAAAACAAGTGGCAGATTGGATTTGGCTCTTGGGTTGTAGTTTGCTGACCCCTGCTGTAGATTTTTATCCCATGTTTTTGTGTTCCTTTGTTGACTCTTCATTTAAGAAAGACCTGGGGAATTGATGAATGTTCTCTGCTAATGTATTGGTAGGACTGTGTCTCTATAGCCCTTTTCTCTAAATAGAAGCCTGACTGGACATTCAGTAGGTCGGTGGGCTATGTGGATAAGTAGGTTTCTCAGCAGCATAAGAGTACTTAATCTCCTTTGTGCCATGCACCCCTTTTAGCAACCTGGTAAAACTGTGTTTACGCTGGTAAACATATTCTTCTCAGAGGAATTTTTTTTGTTTGTTGGTTGTTTTTTTTTTTTTTTTTGAGTTGGAGTCTCACTCTGTCGCCCAGACTGGAGTACAGTGGCCGCTCCCGGCCACTGCAGCCTCGACCTGCTGGGCTCCAGAGATCCTTCCGCCTCAGCCTTCCAAGTAGCCGGAATTACAGGCATGCACTACCACGCCCGGCTGATTTTTGATTTATTGTAGAGATGAGGTCTCGAACCCAGGCGGGTCTTGAACCCGCAGGCTCAGGCAATCCACTCACTTCAGCCTCCCAAAGGTGTGGGATTACAGGCTGAGCCACCAAGCCCGGCTCAGAGTAATGTTTTTAAATGTAAAAAATAAAATGGTATGTTGGATTGCAAAGGAAATTGATTTGATTGAAATAGTTTATCAAAATATTACAAACAAATATGGTAAGAGTAATATGTTCTATATTAATGCACTAAGTATTTAAGACCAAGCAGAGGGTCTAATTCTAATTTTGAAGTAATGATGAACATAAAATATATTTTGAGGTCTGCAACAACTATAATGTGATCTTTGAAAATACCTGTGATTTGTATTAGTGACACTAACATTGCTGATACTACTGTAGTTTCTTCCTGGGTTCAAAACAGAAGGAAATAGTAAATGTCAATTTACAGGTTAATTAAAATAATATGTGATTTTCTTCTTATCCAAATTCACTAAATTCAGTCCATAGATCCTTGAGTGTGCAGTCTCTGGACAGCAGGATAAGAATCCCTGCTTCAGGGTGAGAGGGATGGAGTATTTTTTTCTGGAGGAGGTTACTCCGAAATGCCAGCATGTGGTGAAATTCGTACTCGTACGTGGGTAATCTCAGCATCTAAGTACTCACATTCAAAGTCTTAGCTTTTACCAGATGCTTTCTTCAATTTCTTTGGATAACAGCCCTCTGTTTTTTGCCAGGGAAAGTTCTTGGTTGATTGTGTTCTGGAGAGGGGTAGGGCAGAGATAATCTGTTATCTTAGCTTTGTCAGTTTTTATGTAGAATTTTAATTCATCTTCTTTTATAGACACATTTCTTACACTCCAAACTAAGCCCAACCTCTGGAGCATAGCTTTCTTTTCTTGTCAGGAATTTTTTGAAGTCTCTCAATTCCTGATTAATGCACTTTATGCCCCCCCCCATACACACAAACACATATGCACACACATATGCACCTGCTATTTGTACTTTTATTTCTGTGGGATATCAGGAGTCCATACTAGTTCAATAAACCATCCTGAATCAAAAGCAAGAAAACCTTTTATTTGGACAAAGTGCTACTTTATTTAGACTTCTTTATAAAAGGAGAAAGTGTTTGTCATCACATTTGTATACTTTCTAAATTATACAAAGAGCAATAAACGGAAGCAGTGAGTTTATAGATAGCTAGTGAAGAAAAGCATTGAGTTATTTGTATTTTGCATATTTTAGTGCCCTCTGAAAAGTATCATTGGTAGTTTTCATCTCTACTGTATAATAAAACAATATAATTGATGTTTGTTTTGGTTTTATTAGTGTTGCCCACTCATCTCATATTTTCATTTAATACAAATCAGCCATGTTACTACTTGTGGTAAGAGGAGTCTGCTTCAGTACGGTAGACCCATGTGTTTTGTGCAAGTGGAGGGTACTAAATCTCTCATTTGGATCATTTTAATATTTTGATTCAGATACACTGAGAGAATCTCATTTCTGTGTTTCATTAAGCTAAAATTCATGGAAGCTGCTGAGTATTGAATAATCTTTTTGGTTCTCCCTGTGCTCACTAAATAAAATTAAAGGCCCAAACCAGGATAAACGTAATGATCTGTACAAGAGTCAGCCAACTTTTTCATAAAGGATCAGATAATGAATCTTTTTAACTTCATAGACCATAGTCTTGTCTCTCACAACTAAGACAATATGTAAATGAATGGATGTGACTACATTCCAGTAAAGTTTTATTTATAAAAACAGGTGGCCAGGCTGAAAGTTTGCCAACCCCTGATCTGTCAGTCCAGAAGTTCTATGTAGTTTGTTCTATTGTGTTAGTTGGAAAAGGCACTCTTCCTTGAAAATTTAGAGATAAGAACTTGGTGGCCTGAAGGTTGTTAAATTGGTTGGTAGTCTTGTCTGATGTAATGAAGATAAGGTGTACATTAAAGCCATTACCAGATCAAGAAACTTCTTCAGCTTGTTTGGATTCTTTAAGCAGGGAGCAAGTTCATTTTTTAGACTTATAATTAATCATCTGGTGGAACAACTCCTAGCTTTGAAGTTAATCATCAAAGATAAACCATTATATTGGGCCACCTAGTATATTTTACAATAGTGAATCTTCTGTTTTGGTTTGTGTTTGTTTTGAGTTTGCTTCCTTACACAGTTGTCATGTGAAAGTAAATAAGGAACCAGGCCCCAGAGTATGCTTTGGAGCAGAATCATTGGTCACCATAATGATAGGCATATGTCTCTTCCTGATATGAGTCTAGGAGCCATTTGGCCCTTGGTCATTTTTTTTTTTAAATAAACTTTTTGACTAGAAGATATTATACATACTAATTATAATTATACAGTTTTTGATACACTGAGTGTAGACACTAGTAATTGATACTTGAAGTTTTATACACAAAAATTGCTTTAAATTATCTGGTATGATCAGCTTGGGCTTCTCTGGGATCAACTTCCATACCTGGGTTCGTGTTCCGGGGGTGCTTGGGTTCTCTGCTGTTGCCTTGGGGCACCTTCATCAATAGAGTTAGAAAGTTTATTTCTAAAAGTATACCTGAATACAAAGAACAGGCCAGTTCTTTTTTTCTTGTCATCATTGTAGATACCTCTGCTGTGAGTCATAGGAGAAAGCAGGCTTTGGTAGCAGAGACGTATCCTAATTGTTAAGTGGATTTTCAGTTGGACCATTATAGTTTACTTGGTGTTTTATGAAATGATGAATTATTGAGTCAAGATATTTGAAAGTTTTGTCAATCCAAAGGCAGAAATGTACTATGAGAAATGTAATGCTACAGTTCCCTCATATCAAATAGTTAAGATTTGGGAATTTAGACTTTTGATTCTGTAAAGTGCATGCAGTGTACAATTTCAAAATCTTCCCTCAAATTATCTTTAAGGATGGATATGTCATGCTGACTTGCTAGTTTGTTTTTAATTCTGGAAAATTTCAAATATGTGAATGGAAAACCTTGTATACCCATATGAACCACATGTACCCATCACCCAACTTCAGCAATGATCAATTCATGGCCAATTTTGTTTCTTATTTTTAACCAGATTTTTAAAAAATCATGATAGGTTTTTTAAATGGAAATTTGAGTGTTTTTTATTTATTATTTTTTATCTTAGAGTTGTGGGGTGCAAATTGGGACTTACTACGTAAGTATGTTGCATACAGTTGAAGTTTAGGCTTCTAAGTGGCCCTCTCTTCCCCTGTTAGTGGACCAGGTACCCAGTGTGTTGCCTCATGCTTCCCTTCCTCCTCCCTCCCTCCCTCTCCTAGCAATGTCCAGCATCTGCTGATCCCACCCTTGTGCTAGTGTGACCAGTATTCAGGGCCTACTTATGAATGAGAACATGCCCTATTCAGTTTTTGTTTCTGATACTTCTGATACTTTGTTTCTGATAGTTTACTTAGTATGATGGTCTCCAGCTTATGATTTTGTTCTTTTTTATGTATATGTACCACATTTTCTTTATCTATTCCACTTTTGATGGGTTGGTTCCATGTTTTTGCTATTATGAATAGTGCTGAAGTAAACATGCATGTGCAGGTGTCTTTTTGGTAGAGTGACTTATGTTCCTCTGGGAATATTCTCAGGAGAGGAATTGCAGGATCACACAGAAGCTCAGTTTTTAGTTTTTTGGGAAATCACCACACTGCTTTCCATAGAGGTTGAACTAGCTTACATCTCCACCAACAGTGTAGAAGTGTCCTGTTTTCTCTGCAGCCGTACCAGCACCTGTTGTTTTTTGACTTATTAATGTTAACTGTCCTTACTGGTGTTAAGTGGTATCTCATTATAGTTTGATTTGCATTTCTTTGATGATTAGTGAGGTTGAGCATTTTTTCATGTGTTTGTTGGCTGCTTGTATGCCTTCCTTTGAGAAATGTCTGTTCATGTCTTTTACCCACTTTTTAATTGGGTGGTTTGGTTTTTTTCTTTCAATTTGTTTTAGTTCCTTGTAGAAGGATGTTAGGCCTTTGTCAGATGGATAGCTTGCAAATATTTTTTCCCATTCTGTGGGTTGTCTCTTTACTTTCTTGATGGTTTCTTTTGCTGTGCAAAAACTTCTGTTTGATAAGGTCCTACCTGTCAATCTTAGCTTTGGTTCCATTTGCTTTTGAGGACTTGGCCATGAATTCATTGCCTACTCCTATGTCTAGGAGGGTGTTCCCTACGTTTTCTTCTGAAGTTCTTACAATTTGAAGTTTTACATTGAAGTCCTTGATCCATTTTGAGTTAACTTCTATATAGGTAAGGGCACAGTTTCCTTCTTCCGCATGTGGCTAGCCAGTTTTCCCAGTACCATATGCTAAATATGGTTTCTTTCCCCCCATGTTTGTTAGTGATGGTTTTGTTGAAGATGAGTTGGTTGAGGGACTAAAATTGAAATTTTAATTTTTACTTAGTTTAGGCACTTTGGAAACACTAAAACGTCACCGAAAAGTTTGCTACATAGAAAATCAAGAAGTAAGGACTATGATGTATATAGTGATAATGATGTCTGCAACCAGGAATCAGAAGACAGTTTTGCCAAAGCACTTCAACAGTACATAAAAGCTAAAGAAATGGCAAATGCTGCTCAATGTTTACCTGCTCAATCTGTGAAGAAAGAGGAAGCAAAAGATACCCAACAGGGTAAGGGTCAAACTATTTTATCACTTAATCTAAAGAAGCAGTCACAGTTGTCCACATTTAAACAGAGGATTTTTCTTGGCACTTTATCTCGTGATAAGATCATGGTTTTCATGGATCTTTATACAGACTTGGGCTTCTGTGGCCTGAGATCCCACCTGAGACCTGGCTACTCTGTGTGTAAATGCTCACTGTTTGCAAGTGGAGCTGGGGGGCACAGGTGGGTTATCAAAAGTTAAGATGGTTTCTAAACTGAGAGTGCTAAATCCTTGGCCTCTGAATGTATGAAGACTAGGATATATGCCTGTAGTGCTGTCATTTAAAGAGGAATTGACTGAAATGGTTATATGTCAGACTGTAACCTAGAAATAACATTCTTTTAGAAAATGAGATTTAGTCATAAATAGGAGAGCAAATGGCAATTATCAATGAAATTCTTAATGTTCTCATTTTTTTCTCTTTTCTATTTAAAATGGGTCAATAGATAAACTTGGTATAAAATGTTTTCAGTGAAAAGTCTGGCAGTAGTATATGAGGTCATTTTAAACATTTAAAGCCTTTACTGTTACAGTGTCATCACAATTCCTAATTAGATCCATCATACTCTGAATAATTCATTCAGAAGGATCTGCCTTGTGGCTTGTAAGATTGCTTTTTTTACTTTTTCATTTTTAATTTTTGAGTTGGAGTCCCACTCTCTTGCCCAGGATGGAGTGTAGTGGCACACTCAAAACCACTGCAGCCTCGACCTGCTGGGCTCCAGCAATCCTTCCTTCAGCCTTTCAAGTAGCTGGAACTACAGGCACACACCACCACGCCTGACTAATTTTTGTATTTATTGTAGAGATAAGGTCTTACCAAGTTACCCGGGCTGGTCTCGAACCTGTAGGCTCAGGCAGTCCTCTCACCTTGGCCTCCCAAAGTTCTGGGATTATAGGCGTGAGCCACCACACCCAGCCAATTGATTTTTATTAATTATCTTTCTTTTTCCCTGACAGTACTGTATATATTTTCAAACAGAATGAATTGGGAACCCAGAATGCATTATCATTATTCTCCTTTTGGTCCCTTAATCCCAGAACTTCTAGAAAAGCGGGTCCGTGTCATGCCAGTTTTTGCTCATTGAACTGTAGAGAACTTTCCTAGAATATTATAAAACGTACTTCTTAAAAAATAAACTGTTAGTATAATTTTGTCATCTTTTAAATTAACTTATTTGTTTTTAGCTGCTAAACAAAAAAATAAAAAACTTAAAGCTGGTCACAAGAATGGTAAACAGAAGAAAATGAAGCGAAAATGGCCTGGCACTGGAAACAAAGAACCAAATGCTTTGCTGAAGAACAACAGCTCACAGGAAGAGGTATAAGAATATTTGTTTGTAGGAGGACCTATACATGCTTTTGGAGTTTATCTTTACATGTCAGTGACAAGAAGTGCTATGCGATATTGGGAGGTGGGAGTATCCCACGAAATCAGGGTTTTCCGATTATGAAGGTCTCCTTTTACTAACAGTGGGCTCTCTGTGTTTTTCCTTCTTATCATTGCAGCTTCCTTCTCTCTCACTCATTAGCTTCCAGCACCTATTTTCAGCCTTTTAGTATTCTCCCTATTGTCCCTGAATCCGTGAACACAAGCCCCTTGATTTTTAAGTGTTGTATTGTCAATGACTATGGAAAAATAAGAAGCCCAGAGAAGATCAAATAGCCATGAGGCAATTCAAAGGCTACAGAGTCTTACAAAGTTTTTACTAATTATAGTCCCTGTCTATTGGTTCCTGATTCCCTCTGGAAATTACAAATGAATATTTCTGAGCATTGGCCTTCTTACCAAATCTCTCCACCTCCTATCCTCCTGGTATTTTGAGATGACTTTGTAAAGTTCCTTTTCCTTGGACTGCAGATATAATCAGGGTAGCCAATAAGTGACTCCTGTACTGTACTTTTCTTAAGACTTTTAAACTAGATGGCAGCCTTTTTATTAGGTTTGGTCACGGGACAAGAATAAGGAGTGGTAAAAATTTTAGAAATACCAAATATTATGAAGCACATTTACATAAAATCTATCTCTGCCTCGATATTTTACAAATGAGAACTCTGAAGCTCTGGTGTTCAGGTGGGCCTGTGGTCACACAGGGCCCAATTCAGACCTAGAACTTGTGGTTTCCTTACCCCCAGTCAGTAGTTCCTTTCATTTGGTTTACGTTAACTCAAATAACTATTCAGCCAGGCTGGTAGCCCTTCTACATGAGGAACAAATTTAAACCAGTATGGTAAAATTTAATAACATAATCAAATAAAACCAAAGATTAAAACATACACATATGCATATGTATAAGACATAATTTTGATAGTGCTAAGTAGAAGTTTGCCATTAATGCAAAGCAGATTACATAATGACTGTATAGTCTGCTCTCTTGTTTGCACAACTATATTCCTAAAACTATATTCAAAAATTTGGTATGCAGAAGCTGTAAGCTGTACTACAAGTTAACATATTAAAAATAGTTTCTGTTTTTGAAGAGCTAAAGTGTATTTTAAAATTCTCCTTCTGGGTTTTTTTTTTGAGTTGGAGTTCCATTCTGTCACCCAGGCTGGAGTGCCATGGAGAGGCTCATGGCCGCCACAGCCTCGACCTGCTGGGCTCAGGTGATCCTTCCACCTCAGGTTTCCACAGGCCCACACCACCATGCCTGACTAATTTTTTGATTTATTGTAGAGACGAGGTCTTGTCAAGTTACCCAGGCTGGTCTCAAACTCCTGGGATCAGGCAATCCTCTCTCCTCAGCCCCCCAAAGTGCTGGGATTACAGGTATGAGCCAGTGTATCTGGCCCCATTCTGTTTTTTATATAAAATTCCCCTTTGATTTTTATACCTTTATCACCATCTTCGAGGATGTATTTCTTGTTATGTTTATTAATTTGAGCTGGTCAGTATACTCAACTCATACCCAGTAATTGTCGCATTTCATGCTTTTGATTTACCCTGTGATTTCTAGCTTTGTCTCCATTGTTCTAAAGATCTTTGTTTTTAGATTTTTTTTTTTTGCCACAAGTACTAGCACTTTCATTTTTAATTTTTTTTCATTTGTACAAAATAATGGCAATGTATGTTAAAATATTTTAATTGCACAAACATATATTCAGTGACAGAATGCTGTTGAAACTGACAGAACATTCATTTTTAAACTGATGTACAAAAGTACAAATTTTACATATGAAAGCCAACTTAGAAAAGTCACTTACTAATGTTTTAAAGGTGGTTTGAAATAATTTTGCAACAGACTAAAATATTTAATCTTGTTTCTCACATTTAGTTTTTGTTTTTGTTTTTAAAGGATGGTAAACCTAAAGAGAAGCAGCAACATGTGAGAATGAGTCAGGGATTCATCAACCACCATACAGTGGAACGCAAGGGAAAACAAATTTGCAAATATTTTCTCGAGAGAAAATGTATTAAGGTATAAAAATGTGTAAGCAAAAATATACTAAAATATACGTTATAGCAAAAATGTGCTAATACAAACTGCTGTTTCTATTTAACACTCTTTTAAATCATCTAGGTTTTTAAGCATTTTAGTGAAATACTATTTTATGTTTAAAAAGTTAAAAAAAAGTAGATCATCTGTTAAACGCTTTATGTTAAAAAATGTTTAGGACTTAAGAAAATCTGAAGCAGATATATGTGATGTGTTTATAAGATAACATATTATGAATTAGATCATACTATCTCCTAAGACTTTGGTTCTTTCTGGACTCATTTATTTATTTAACGTTTACTAGGAATTAAATTGTAATGACATAACTGTGAGAAATAATGGCTTTTCCTTGTTTCTTCTTTTGGTCCAGGGAGACCAGTGTAAATTTGATCATGATGCAGAGATAGAGAAGAAAAAGGAAATGTGCAAGTTTTATGTACAGGGATATTGTACCAGAGGCGAAAACTGTTTATATTTGCATAATATCCTTTATCACAAAATATGGTAACTTTACTCTTCATAAATATTTACATAGGCATTTTAAATATACAAAATTTTTAATGAAACCAGTGTTTTAGCTATAACAACATTATACTATCCAAGCCCAGCTTAACATCAAAGTGATTAAATTGTACATAGTTTTTTTTTTCCTAAGAAAGAAAAGAGGAATTCTTTAGAAAATCTCTCAAATGATGATCCTTTCTGCTCAATTTGGGTGGTACAGAGGGTTTGTGAGACCTATTCAAGTCTGGAAAAGCTGTCAGAATTTCTGCTGTGACATTGAATAATTGAATCTATATTCAAATAAGCTACTTACTAAAAAAAGGCAGGGGTTGGATAATTTGATAGTACTTATCTTCCATATATTTGGTACTGTACAGAGGTTAGTTGTCCCTTAATTTGAGGAATAACCTTAACTCTCCCATGTAAATTGTACAGGAGTGTAAAAACATGAAATAACAACATTTTAAAATAATAGCACTTTTGGTCACCACAAAAGTTGTTTTTCTTCAATTATTCAATATAAAGAGTCTCAAATTCTAACAAGATTTTTTTCCTAGAAAACAAGTATACATTTATTCCATTTTAAACAAACCTAACATATGAAGGATCCAGATATGTAAGACATACCAATGTCATCATTCACTTTGATTCCTCCACCCCAGAAGGATTATTTAAAAATAATCACATTTAGTCGGACTCGTTGGCTCAGCCTGTAGTCCCGCGCCTTTGGGAGGCTGAGATGAGTGGATTGCCTGAGCCCGCGGGTTCGAGACCTGCCTGGGCAGGCAAGACCTCATCTCTACAGTAAAATCAAAAAATTAGCCGGGCGTGGTAGCACGCGCCTGTAATTCCGGCTACTCAGAAGGCTGAGGTGGAGGGATCGCTGGAGCCCAGCAGGTCAAGGCTGCGGTGGCCGGGAGCGGCCACTGCACTCCAGTCTGGGCGACAGAGTGAGACTCCAGCTCAAAAAAAAAAAAAAAAAAAAATCAAATTTTTCAAGGTATTTAAAAAATATATATCACGTTCATATATCAATGAAACATACCTGTAATCTATTATAATAATAGATATGAAGGGAAAAAATGTCCTGTGATAGTCAATAAGTTTGTTTATGTAATCTTTCTAAAATTAGATTTTTTTTTCCTCGTAATCCAGTTAGTAATTTATTATCTCACATTTTAAATAGAAAATTCAGTGTTTCTTACAAAAGGACTTTAGGGAAAATAAAGTCATTAAGTTAATAACAAATTATTTCAGTTGGATTAAAATTACTCTCTTCCTTAACATTTGGGTTACATGAATATCCTTGCAAGTTTTACCACACAGGAACAAAATGTTATCAGGGAGAATATTGCAAGTTTTCACATGCTCCACTAACTGCTGAAACACAAGAACTGTTGGCTAAAGTAAGTAAAATTTTAATAATCTTTTGTTTTTCTTTTTAAATAATGTGTGTGAACTAAGGATAAAAATTTGAAGATACTATTTTTTTTAAGAAGAGTACCTCATAGGTTAGCATATGGGACATATTAGAACTGATAATTTATAATTTAAGAATTTACTTTAATTTCTAATCTGAAAATTTAAAATAATTTTTAGGAAATTATTTTTCATTGCTATATTTTATCCCTATAGCTGAAAGGAAGACTTACGCTCGTTGCTGATATAAGTTGGAATGCTCTTAAACCTTCAATGTAGTTAGCAACTATAATAACTAAGCTAAACAAAGAAAAGCAAAGCAAGAAAGGGAAATAGCACTCCTGTTATAGAGGCTCTTAGAAGGAAAGTTAAGAGACATGGGTTGGGCGGTGGGACCAGGTTCTCAGATGCCCAAACCTTGCCTTCAGTGAGTATACCTGTGTAATCCTCACATGTATCCCATGAGTTTAAAATTAAGGGAAAAAAAATCATGGGTTGATAAACATTTTAGAGTTACATCAAAGAATAATCAAGTAGTAATTTCAAAGTGTTTTCTTCAAATATTCTTTTAGTCTGTGAGAAAAGATCATTGAAAAATGACAGTCATTTATATTCTTTCATTTCCCATGTTAGAACTAGTCTCTTCAAAATTAAATAAAAATATATGTGAAAATAGCCAGGTGTGGTGGCTCAAGTCTGTAATCCCACCACTTTGGGAGGCCAAGGCAAGAGGATTACCTGAACTCAGGGTTCGAGACCAACCTGGGCAAGTTGGTGAGATCTCATCTCTGCAATAAATTTTTTAAAAAAAGAAAATTAGCCGGGCATGGTAGCACATGCCTGTAGTTCCAGCTACTTTGAAGTCTGAGGCGGAACAATCGCCTGAGCCTAGCATGTCGAGGCTATGGTGGCCATGAGCGTGCCACTGTGCTCCAGCCTGGATGACAGAATAAGACTTCAACTCAAAAAAAAAGAAAAAAAATAAAATATATATATGGCATTTCTTTCTATGTATACACACACACACATATTTATATATGTAAAAATAAGAGATTATTTTAAAACCAGCCATACCATCTTATGGTGAAATGTTCCCTTGAGCATATACAAATTCTGGAAAGTCAAAGGTGCTTATTTCTAGATGGTTTTAGATTGTAAAACATGAAAGGTTATTGTGAAATTAGAAGTTATACCAAGTATTTAGTTGTTTATTTATATGAAATATGTGGAAGAAATGATATATATAAAATTAGTTTTTCATTTCCTCTTACAGTAGTAAATAATATTAGATGATTATTAGGATGGAATGTTAGTATAATCATTTGAAAATTATGAGAGTATGACTGTATACCTAAATTAGACATGAATGCATAAAAATGATTATTAACCTAATATTGACTTTTTTTTCAATATTAGGTTTTGGATACCGAAAAGAAGTCATATAACTGAAATAGACATACAAAGGTAAAATTAAAATTTACCACATTTCTTTTTTCCTCTGAAACATTTCCAGAAATTGGCCTCAATAGGGCTTTTTCCATTTTCTCAAATGGAAGTATTTTTCTCCTTTCTCTTCCACTAAAAAAATTATAGAATATTTGATAAATACACATGGCTGTGTGGATCTCCATCAACCTGCTTTTCCCTATGTGAGTTTATCTACCATTTCTATTTTAGTCTTCTTTTGTGTTTCTTTGTAGATTTACCAAATGTATAAATTCACTAAGCAGTATAATATTTAGTTTTGCTTCTGTTTGGATGTAATTTAGACAGTATCATGCTCTTTGTTAATTGGTGACTTGCTATTTTCATTTAACATTGTGCTTCTAAGATTCATTCATGTACATGTGTGCAGCTGTCATTCATTCATTTTTACTCCTATATAGCATTTCTTTCTATGTGTATGTTATTTATTCAGTCATTCTACTATTGATGGATATTTAGGTTATTTTTAATTTTTTAAAATGCAAGTTATTATAAATACTCATATACACGTCTCTTGGTATAAAGGTGCATGAGTTATCTAGGGTGTATATATCAAGAAGTAGAATTGGTTTTTTTTGTTTTGTTTGTTTTTTGTTTTTGAGTTGGAGTCTCACTCTGTCGTCCAGACTGGAGTGCAGTGGCCGCTCCCAGCCACCGCAGCCGGGAAATGAGTTGTAGAGATGAGGTCTCGCCAAGTTGCCCAGGGTTGTAGAGATGAGGTCTCACCAAGTTGCCCAGGCGGGTCTCGAACCCGCGGGCTCAGGCAATCCACTCACCTCAGCCTCCAAAAGACGCGGGATTACAGGCTGAGCCACCGAGCCCAGCTGAAGTAGAATTGTTTTGTCATCTTAAAATTTAAGATGATGCCAATTTTTTCTAAACCAATTATAACATTTTGTATACCTACAAACAATAGAACTTCTGTTGTTTTATACTTGTCAGTACTTTATATTGTCAGTACTTAAAATTGATGAGTGTGGTGGCTCGCCTATAATCCCAGCACTTTGGGAGGCTGAGGCGGGAAAATTGCTTGAACCAGGAGTTCAAGACCAACCTAGGCAACATAGTGAGATTTTTGTCTCTACAAAAAATCAGAAAAATAAGCTGGGCATGGTGGCATGTGCCTGTAGTTCCAACTACTTAGGAGGCTGAGGCAGAAGGAGTGCCTGAGCCCAGAAGGTCGAGGCTACAGTGAGCCGTTATTATGCCACTGCACTCTAGCCTAGGTAACAGAATAAGACCATGACTCAAAAAAAATAAAATAAAAAATTAACAAATTTAGTGGGTGTAAAAATAGAATTTCATTGCTTCATTTGCATGAACTACAGCGTCTTATGCTTACTAGCTTGAGTTTCTTCATAGGTGAAATGTTTGTTAATATCTTTTGCTTATATTTTTATTGGTCTGATTTTTTTTATATGTTGATTTTATATATTCTAGATTTAATCTTTTGTGAAATATATGTGGCGGATCTTCTCCCATTTTGTGGGCAGTCTTTTCACTTTTTTGAAGGATTTCAAAAGCAGAATTACTTAAAGTTAAGGAGTAGGGAAGTACACTTCACTTTTTTTTTTTTTTTTTAGTTGGAGTCTCACTCGGTCGCCCAGACTGGAGTACAGTGGCTGCTCCTGGCCACTGCAGCCTCGCCTGCCGGGCTCCGGCGATCCTTCCGCCTCAGCCTTCCAAGTAGCCAGAATTACAGGCGTGCGCTACCAGCCCGGCTAATTTTTGATTTATTGTAGAGATGAGGGCTCACCTGCCCAGGCGGGTCTCGAACCCGCGGGCTCAGGCAATCCACTTACCTCAGCCTCCCAAAGGCGCGGGATTACAGGCTGAGCCACCGAGCCCGGCTTACACTTCACTTTTGTACTTTACTTGTGGAAGGAACTGCTAGGTTACATGAAAGAGAACGACTGAGACTATAGGGAGAAAAAAGTGAGACCAATTGACTTCTTTTTTTAAAAAAATAGTATGAAATGGGCATCTCATACTGTTTTTCCCCCCACTCTACCCCCCCAAAATGGATAACCAATCTCCCAAGCACCATTTAATTAAAAGACTGCTTTTTCCCTACCGATCTGTAGTGTCCCTGCTGGTATATGTCAAGTTTCCCTCATTCTTCATTTGTCTTTTTCTCTGATGCCTTAATTACTGTAGCAGTACTTGTTATTAATCAGACATTTTAGTAATAGGTTTTTAGTAAAGGCGAAGTGGTATCTCATTGTAGTTGTAATTTTTATCTTATTTTTAGTTAGGTTTTCACTGTGTTACCTAGACTGAAGTGTAGTGGCAGAGTCACAATGCAACACAGCCTTGATCTCCTGGGCTCCCATGATCCTCCTGCCTCAGCCTCCTGAGTAGCTAGAACCACAGGCATGTGCCACCACACTCAGCTTATTTTTTTTTATTTTTTGCAGAGACGAGGTCTTACTGTATTTCCCAGGCTGGTCTCAGACTCCTGGGCTCAACAATTCTCTAGCCTTGGCCTCCCAAAGTACTGGGATCACAGGTATGAGCCATCATGCCCAGCCACATTTTCTTAATGATTAAAGATGTTGAGCATCTTCTCATGTGCTTATTGGTCATTGGTCAATTCAGATTTTTTTGTTGTTCTAAAAATTTTCTAGCCAAGCGCAGTGGCTTACACCTATAATCTAAGCACTTTGCGAGATCGAGGCAGGAGGATTGCTGAGCCCAGGAGTTTGGGCAGCACGGTGAGACTTCATCTCCATAGAAAATAAAAATATTAGCTATTCAGGAGGCTGAGGTGGGAAGGTTGCCTGTTTAGTTTTGTTCTTTTTAAAGATTGTTTTGAATACTCTGGGTCTTTTGCTTTTCCTTATAAATTTTAGCATCAGCTTGTAAATTTTTGCAAAAAACCCATGCTGAGATTTTGATACGGATGGCATTGAATCTATGGAGAATTGCCATGTTATTGTTGAGGATTCCAATCTATGAACATGGACTGTCTCCATTTATTTAGATCTTTAGTTTCTCTCAGAATTTTGTAGTTTTTAGTGTACTTGTGAACAGTGGACACTTTTTGTTAAATTGACTCCTGTATATTTTATTCTGATACTATTGTTGAATAAGATTGTCTTTTAAACCTCGTTTTTACATTGTTTATTGATATTACATAGAAATAGAATTCATTTTTGTATACTGATTTTGTTTTCTGTGACTTAGATAAATTCATTTATTAGCAGGTTTTGTTTTGTTTGTGTGTGTGTGAATGCCTTAGGAATTTGTATATATAGAATTATGTCATCTGAGAATAAAGACAGTTTTACTTATTCCTTTCTAATCTGGATGGTTTTTTTTTTTTCTTGTCTTATTTCATTGGCTAGAACTTCCTATAAAAGCTCAAATAGAAGTGAGAACAGATAATGTTGTCTTTGTCCTGATATTGGACAGAAGCATTCAGTCTTTCACCATCTTATATGATTTCAGCTGTAGGTTTCCATAGACATTCTAGTTTAGTGAGGTTCCCTTCTATTTTTTATTTTTTATTTTTTGAGTTGGAGTCTCACTCTGTCGCCCAGACTGGAGTACAGTGGCTGCTCCCGGCCACCGCAGTCTCAACCTGTTGGGCTCCAGCGATCCTTCCACTTCAGCCTTCCAAGTAGCTGGAACTACAGGCGCGCACTATCACGCCCAGCTAATTTTTTGATTTATTGTAGAGATGAGGTCTTGCCAAGTTGCCCAGGCAGGTCTCGAACCTGCGGGCTCAGGCCCCTTCTATTTTTAATTTATTGAGTGCTTTATCTTGGATGGGCACTAGATTTTATCAAATGCTTTTTCTGCATCTATTGAGATGTTCATATAATTTTTTCCCTTTATTCTATTAATATATTAATTTGGTTGTAAAACCAATCTTGTGTTTTTGAGATAAATTCTACTTGGTCATGGTGTATGTAATCTATTTTATATATTACTGGATTTCGTCTGCTAATATTTTATTATTTGAATCTTTGTTCATGTTCATAAGGGGTATTTGTGTGTAGCTTTCTTTTCTTGTAATATCTTTTTCTGACTTTGGTGTCACGGTAATACTGACCTCCCAGAGTAAGTTAAAAGGTGTTCTGTTTTCTCTTTTCTGGAAGAGTTCATGAAGAATTGGTATTCTTTCTCCTTGAACTATTGGTAGAACTTGCTAGTAAGACAAGTGAACCTGAGTTTGTTTTTGTTTTTTTGGTTTTTGAATCAGAAGATTTTACTACAGATTCAGTTTCTTTCCTTGTTAGAAGTTTACTCAGATGTTTTAAAGTCAGTTTTGGTAATTTTTATTTATGAATTTTGCCATATCATCTTTCATTTCAGGTTTTTTTTTTTTTTTTTTTTTTTTGAGTTGTTGGCTCACTTCATCGCCCAGGCTGGAGTGCAGTGGCACGCTCATAGCCACCCTAGCGTCGACCTGCTGGGCTCCAGTGAGCCTTCTGCCTCAGCCTTCCAGGTAGCTGGAACTACAGGCGTGTGCTACCTCGCCTGGCTAATTTTTTGATTTATTGTGGAGACGTGGTCTCACCATGTTGCCCAGGCTGGTTTCAAATTGCGGACTCAGGCAATCCTCCTGCCTCGACCTCCCAAAGCACTGGGATTACAGGCTTGAGCCATCGCGCCTGACCAGGTTTTGGTAATTTTGAGCCTTCTCTCTTTTTCTTGGTCAGTATAGCTAAATGTTTGTCAAGTTTATTGATTTTTCAAAGAACTAATTTAGTTTTTAAATTTTTGTTTGAGCCGGGCTCGGTGGCTCAGCCTGTAATCCCGTGCCTTTGGGAGGCTGAGGTGAGTGGATTGCCTGAGCTCGCGGGTTCGAGACCCACCTGGGCAGCGAGACCTCATCTCTACAATAAGTCAAAAATTAGCCGGGTGTGGTAGCGCACCCCTAGTTCCAGCTACTCGGAAGGCTGAGGCGGAAGGATCACCGGAGCCCAGCAAGTCGAGGCTGCGGTGGCTGGGAGCAGCCACTGCACTCTAGT